TTTGGCAGCATCTGTAAGATGCCCAAGGAAACTAGGATCACTATTCCCCTTAACAACCTAACTGATCTCTCATACACAAATTCATACAGGGCCACAGTCACTGAATATCTATCTCCCAATGATTTCTAGAAGTCATTCAGAGCTTGCAAGCTATCTTTTCTAATTTTCAATTTCTGAGGCTTAATTTCTTTTTTTTAAAGATTTTATTTATTTATTATGTATATATAACATTCTGCTTCCATGTATATCTGCATACCAGAAGAGGGCACCAGATCTTATAACCGATGGTTGTGAGCCACCATGTGGTTGCTGGGAATTGAACTCAGGACCTTTGGAAGAGCAGTTGGTGCTCTTAATCTCTGAGCCATCACTCCAGCCCGAGGCCTAATTTTTTTAGTATATAACATATGTCCCAGACATTGGAACAGTGGCTGTATTTGTACTTTCTCAGGGGTAATTAATTGCTAAACCTGCATGACCAAAGCTCTGCTGAAGCTGTCCATACATTGCAAGCAAAATTTCTTCACTTTTATAGATAAGTGAAATATCATCCATAAAATGAACAATATAAACCTGCTGAAGTTGATCTCTAATATTTTTGTATAGCCTGAGCCACAAACTTCTGGCACAATGTAGCACTATTGGCCATGCCCTGAGGCAGAACCTTATGATGATGATATCTCTTCATGGGCTCTTCAAAATTAACTGATGGAAGGCAAAATGCAAACCTATGACAATCTTGGGGAGCCAAAGGGATGGTATAAAAACAGTCCTTTAAATCTAAAATAATTTTATAGGTATCCTTTGGTATGACTGTAGAAGGCAGTCCAGCTTGCAAAGCTCCCATGAGCTGCATGATTCTATTAACCTTCTTTAAATCCTGTATTAATCTCCATTTCTCAGATTTATTTTTAATCAGGAAAATAGAATTGCAGGGGGAATTAGAGAATACAGTATGGCCATTACCTAGCTGTTCATTCACCAGCTGTTGGGCAGCTTGTATTTTTCTGTTAGTGGCCACTGATCACCCATATAGGCGCCTTACTTTTATTTATGATAAATATTCCCTGTTCTCTTTTGGTCAAAAGTTTTTGGTTGGAAGAGAATATCCTTAACTTTTTCCCTATAAGAGCATGCAGGCCTTTGTGGGGCTGGGCAGTAGCTTCCTGAGTCCTTGACCCACAGCTGATGCTGGCCTTGGGCAGGGTGTAAACTGTGCTGTGAGGTTGGCAAACTTAGCTGCAGCTTGGGTGGCCACCATCCCAGTGGCTCCGAGACTGTGTCACCCTCAGGCTGGGTGGCTGGGAACATAGGCCTGGGGCTGTGCTACCTTCACTTCCCCGACTCCTGAGTAGCAGCTTGGAAATTGTGGCAGCTCTGGTGTGTGGGTGGGAAAGGGAGGTTTAAAAGATCTACAAACTCTAAAAATTTCTGTACTTGCTGCTGCTGTACTTCAGCTCCTGGCTTTTAAAATATCTCTAAGCAAATATACAAATAGCTGACTCCTAATAACCCTACCCCATATTTACAGTTTTATTCCCAAGTTACTGTACTTTACATTTATCTAATTGCTCACTCCTTAACTCCTATTTGTTTTTTAGGTCCCACATCAGGGGCTACATTTGGCATGTTTGAACCTTTCTGAAAGGGGGAGTGAGGATTGAGAAAAGAAGATAGAGAGGGCACTCAGTGAATACAGCAGACACCCAGCCCAAGTTTATTACTTAAAACCCTTATAATACCCCAAACAGAAGGGGAGGGCAAAAGACTTCCTTATCTTGATACAAGGAATTAAAAAAAAAAAGGAATTATCTTCCCAATACCAAAAAATAACTGATAACCATGCCCTAAATCAAACATCCTGTAATTTGGTCTTGAAGGTCAAGACATCCAGTAGCCACACCTTAGGTCAAACATCCTGTCATTTAACCTCGAGGAGCAAGAATAGGTTTGAATTCTCTGACCTTAAGTCAAGATGGAGCAGAGTCAGTAACAATGGGCCCTGACATTTAACACAAGTGTTCTACCACTGAGTTAGAGTTTCCATCCCTTAGTTATTTTGAAAACTAGATCTTTGGACCTGCTTTGCCTCCTGAGTGCTTCTGGTATTATAGCCCTTGTGCCATTGCACCCAGCTTCATTTTCCATAATAAATAACCAAACATCCCAATACTGCTTAAAAATAATGGCATTCTTTCCCCCATTTTAAAATTATATAGCCAGACATGGTGGCACATGCCTTTAATACCAGCACTTGGTAGGCAGATCTCTGAACTTGAGGTTCTAGGATTACCAGTACTACATGCCCTCCCTCCCCATAACTTACTTGTTACAGAAGAATTTTGCTTTCTTGAGTTTTAAAGTAGGCATTGCTATTTATTTGATCAGTGTAGCAGTATATTCTTGTTACCTATGGGTTCTCCTCTCCACAATTAAAAAGTGCCTTTTTGGTGTGTTTGAGAGACTTTTGTTAGTCTCCCCCCAACATATTTTTCTATTGCTGTTTCTAATGGGAGCCTTTTCCCCCCTTTTTTGTCCAGCTGATCATTGTTTGTTATAAAGTGCATTGGTTACTGGTTAACGTAACTTGCAAACACACTGAATTATTATTATTATTATCATTGTTATTATTATTATTATTATTATTATTATTATTATTATTATTATTATTATTATTATTATTATTATTATTATTATTATTATTATTATTATTATTATTATTATTATTATTATTATTATTATTATTGTCATTAATTCTTTTGGTCTTTTGAGAACAGGGTTTCTCTGTGTAGCCCCGAATGGCCTAGAACTCCGTAGACCAGGCTGGCTTTGAACTCATATCCACCTATCTCTGCCCTCTGAATGCTATAATTAACGGTGGGTGTCACCACCACTTGGGCCATTAATTCGTTTGCCACAAGTTTGAGGCATCTAGGTTAGCAGCAGTTACTTATACTTAGACTACTTAAAAACAATAACAACAAAAATTACTGGTTCTGTAAATCACTTACAGCTTGCCATACTTCGTTAATAGTGAGTAATCAATAGTCCCATCTGCTACTTTCTCTGATAGTGATTGTTCAATTATAAAGATTTTTCCAGGTTGTACTAAGTTCGATGCTTGGTTTCCTTCTGCTGGTTATGTTTTGTAGTCTTAATTTGTTAATTGACATTAGACATTTAATTATTGCTCTTTTAAACAACTTTGTTACTTAACAAGCAGTTGCATTTTTGCCTTTATTGTGAGTTATCTTGGCATAAACTGTAGTGTTAAGTAGATTTTCAGGAAGCATAAACAGAATTATTCCTTTATGTTGTGCATTGTCCAAGTACTAAGTGCATGTGTCTGTATGGCTAGTCTTCAGTGCATGTTGGAGTTGTATAAGTATTGGAAGAATGTTTACTAATTGGCCAATAGGTTAAATTATATATGGAAACACTGGACTAGGGTTGGCAGTAATGTTAAACGTTTTTTAAATGCTAACTGTAATTACCCAATTGTCAAGTAGTACTGCTGGCTTTAGATAAGAATTTATAAACGAGCCAGTCTCCACCATAAACCTTTGTTGTTCCACTTAAAAACAGTTCTTCTTAGGTAGTATATTATACAAAAAGTAAATTCCATCATGCCTTTTTCTTTCTTGATTGGGGTTGGTTGGTTGTACACTAATAACCTCAGTTGTTTGCTTAGCCATCTAATAACATAATAGAGGTCTAATGGTGACTCTGGTATTAGTCAAATAAAGATAAACACACTAACTCTAAAATGTAAAGTCTAAAAAATGGTCATTGATTTTATATTTATTGATAATCTATGATGGTTTTGAGGCAATATATTTTTTATATTTATTGATAATTTATTATGGTTTTGAGGCATGTACTATAGTCAAATTTGAGAAAGAAAATTATTGTATGTGTGAGTGCAGACATTGGTATGCCTACAGCATGCATGTAGAGATAACAACTTTTGGAGTCAGCTCTTTCTTCCACTGTGGGTGGATTCCCAGGATCAGACTCTGGTGGTCAGACTTGCATGGTGGATACTTTGACCTGCTTGGCTTTGTGACATTTTTAAGGGAAAGAAAAGTAGGTGGAAACAAACATGTCTAAGATAATGCTAGTTGGGCTGTAATAGTTATAGTGGGATTCAGTCCTTAACTTTAAATTTTAATTTTTGATATATGAGACCCAATTAAGTTCATTAGATTAAAATTGTGTCTAAGTTATAGAGTTAGGATATTACCTGGCAAGAAGACTTTGGGTCATTAACTCTTATAGTACTAAATTACTGAACTCCCAGTCACCTTAACTATTACTTATCCAACTAATGCCTGTGTTCCAAGGATGAGTATGTGTTGTGTTTGTTTTGCTTATTTTAAGGTAGATAAATTACTTGTTACAATCAGAGTTCAAGGGGGGTAAAGAACAGGTTTTTACAAATGAGAAAGATGAAAACACATCTCAATCTTCAAACGCTGTGGTTGTTGGAGGATAGTGGGTTTGTTTGTTTGGATGATGAGAAAGAGGAGAGAGTGTATCTGTTGGTCTCCCTCATCTATACCTCCCCCAATCTCTTACCCCATCTTGGGCTGGCTTTCAAGTTGCTATGTAGCCAAAAATGACCTTGAATTTGTGATCCTCTTGGAGTTCACTATCACACTCTTGAATTGTGCTGGGGATATAGAGTGCTTTGAACATGCTAGGCGAGTATTCTACAAACTGCTGTGTCTCTAACCCTGGATGCTTTATTTCTCCCCTTCTATAGACAGGCCTTGTGCTAGCCTTGCCTTGTCTGGTTTTCACTGTGTGGCCAGGCTGACCTGGAACTTAAAACAATCCTCCTGCCTTACTGCCCATAATGCTGGAACAGACTTGTGTCAACTGGTCCTTCTTGATCGTGTTCTTTCATCATTCTACAGTTTTTATATCTATTACAGGTTTTTAGAGTTAGGTAATAAGGTAATAACATTAATACTGATAATTCTTTTTGTTTTATGCAGGGATTTATCAAAGATGTCCATGAAGACTCCCTCACAGTTGTTTTTGAAAATAAGTAAGTTATTGACAGATGTTAATTTTTAAGATTGGTAACACTGAGTGTTCCTAAATGATTCTGCTGTGTAGTGGTGGGAGTGCTTTGAGTGCTTGATCCTAGTGAGTTCTACATCCAGTTTTGATAACCCTTCACCTGTTTTTGTATCTACAATTTACCTGCCATTTTCATGTTGTTCTTTGCCAAAACATGTTTGGATATGATTCACTCAGCCATTTTTACAAAAGTAGATATCACAAGTAAAGTAGTGTGATGCTAAAGGCACACACGTTGAAGTGGTTACAAAAGGCCTTTCAAGTAGTTACTAGTGAGTTTGAGGCTATCTTTAATTGCTTGATGCAAATAAGAATTGATAGTAATTCTCTTAATATCCTAGAGGCTAGGCAGTCTAAAAGTGAGGAAGACAAGAATACTGCTTGGTTGGGAAGGGCTATAAAAGGATCTGTTAACTAGAAGGTTAAAGAACTGTTGAACTTGTGACTGCCTGAGTGCTTAACAGCTACTTCATGGAAAGGCAGGTGTTGAGATGGCTTCTGTCTTTTAGAGCTGTCATGTAGACAGTAATAATAAAAAGAAAGTAGGACTTTAAAATCCTAAACTTATAGTTGTCTCCTTGCTCAGCATTCTCTTTAATAGCAACATTTTATGAGGGATATGCCTCCCAAGCTTGAAGTGACCAATGGAAACTTGAAAATGATGTTTGATAATAAGAATTTGTCAGGTAATAGCAGCTAAATTAGTCCATACTGCTACAAAGATTAAGCCTTTTCTAGATTGTAATATTTTCTAGCCAGGTTAAGAAACTTTGGGCGGGGGGACGGTTGTTTGTGCTGAAATTGAGCCATGATTCTCTGTGAGCATGCTAAAGTACAAAGAAGTTTTCATCTGGGCATAAGCTGAGTTTGAACTGTGAATTATTCAAATATACTTTAAAATTTATGTGTATGGTTGTTTTTCCTGCATGCATATATATCTGCACCAAATGGGTGTCTGGGTGTGTGTGCTGAATCTTCTGGAAAAGTAGCAAGTGCTCTTAGCCAGTGAGTTCTCTCTTCATCCCTCAAACTACTTCTATTTACACTTCTTTTGTGAACATGTACACTAATGTTACTTAGTTTTTACTATTTTGTAATTTTACAAAATTTTGTTCTTTTTTGACAAGATTTACTTGATCTCACCATTTTCATTTGATAGCTGTGAATATTATTTTGAGCCTTAGTCATTATTGAGAAATTAGCCTATTTTGCTTGCAGGGCGGTGATGTATGCAAAAATCTGTCTACCTCAATTTAAGAGATTAAAGAACTAAGGTTTTTTGTTTTTCTATTTGGGATATTTTGGATGATAAAACTAACTTTAAAATGTATTTAAAAACATTAAGGCAGAGACTATAGCTTTTCCATATTAGGGTCTGCTAGAATAAAGGGCACTATTTTTTTTTTAATCCTTCAGTTGGCAACCGGAGCGCCAGGTTCCGTTTAATGAAGTTCGATTACCACCACCACCTGATATAAAAAAAGAAATTAGTGAAGGAGATGAAGTAGAGGTATGTGTTTTTATGTTTTCTTTATGGTGCCTGTTTTTTGTTATAAATAAATATCCTTCTGGGAAAATCTGTAGCTGGATATTTGTTCTCCTTTTCCTGTTCTTTATTGGCAGTGACTGTAATGTGTTACTAGAGACTTAACATGAGAAATGGACTAATGTGTCAATGCTATTACTTTTAGCTTTGGTAGACTTAATAAAGTTTTTCAAAATGAAAATTTCTGAAAACATTAAGAATGGTAATACATTTTTAGAGAATTGTAGTGTAGAACCATACAGTGTTAGTAACTTTCTAAAGCTAGTTTTAGTGGTTTGTGCTTCAGTGTCTTTGTTTATTGCTGTGAAGAGACGCCATGACTGTGGCAACTCTGATAAAGGAAAACATTTCATTGGGGGCTGCCTTACAGTTTGGAGGTTTGGTCCATTTTTGTCATGGCAGGAAGCATGGAGGCATGTATGCAGGCAGACATGGTGCTGGAGAGGTAGTTGAGAGTTTTACATATGGATCAGCAGGCATTTGGAAGAGAGAGACACTGAGCCTGGCGTAAGCATCTGAGACCTCAAAGCCCACCTCCAGTGACACACTTCCTCTAACAAGGCCACACCTCCTAACAGTGCCACTCCATACGGATGTATGGGGCATTTTCATTCAAACCACCACAGTTCTGTATGTGTGTGATTCAGAACTTCTTTATGGAATATTATAGGAATGTCTGGAAACATTTGAAAGTACAGAAACTTAAAACAATTCTACCATTCAGAACATTTTTCATATTGTTCTTTACCTTCTTCCTCCACTGCTGGATAGAAATATATTTATGTTGAACTGCTGTTTTTTTGTAACTTGTTCCCCTACACTTGGAAGATTCTGTCTGTCTCTTCAATATTAACCATTATTGATTAATATCCTTGCTGTTACTGGGCATGATGTTGCATGCATGTAATCCTAACACTCCTTTGAAACTATCTTGGGTCATGTATGAAATCCTGTACTTTGAATCCCTTTCCCTCAGAGAAAAAAAAATTGAAAATTTTTATCATAATAAATCACAGTGGTGAGTTAAGATACTTAATTTTATCTAAGATTTTTATTTTTAGTTCTTTTGAGAGTTTTGTACAATATTTAATATGATCACATATTCTATCTGCCACCTACCTACCTGTCTGTCTTCCCTCACCCCCTCGTTAAACAGCAAATCTTTATGACCAATTTGTTCTGCCCATATAGTCTTAGACCTGTGATAAACCATCTCTTTCTCTCCTAACTTCTAACAATTGCAAATAGATCTGTGACAAGGGGTGGGGTTACTTGGTCAACTCTCCTCTTTCGTACTGGCATTTGGTCTGGTTTGTGCTTGCACAGGTTTTATACATGCTGTCATAGCTGCTGTGAGTTGATAAGTAAAGCTGCTCTACTATGTCCGGAAGATACTGTTTCATTGTAGTTATTCACTGCCTCTGACACCTACATTCTTTCTGCCCCCTATGCCACAACCATCCCTTACTTTGGGAGGAGTGACTTCAGTATACGTGTTCCATTTAGGACTGAGTCTTATATTTGCACTTTGGCCAGTTGTGGGTTTCTGTTGATCACTATCTACTATAAACAGCTTTGAGAAATGCATTGATCTGAAGGAGGTAAGCTGGAAGGCTAGGATATAAAATTTTAAATTTTCAAGAAATTTTGATGACATTCTTCTAATTTCCCAGATACTTCATGTGTTTGTCAAGGAGGCTGGTGTGGTATTAAGAGATTTTTTTTTTTAAGTCTTCCTTGTGCCTGGTTTATCGGGCTAGAGAGTATGTTGTTTCTCATTGAAATATCTAACAAGCCACTTAAAGATGAGTTTATTTTGGTGCAGAGTATAGTTCATATTGGTAGGGAAGGCATGGGAGCAGGAATATGAGGCTGCTGATCATGTTGTGTCTACAGTCAGAAGAGGAGAATGCTGGATCCTGGGATATGAGATAGTACTGATCATGCAGGATCAGTCTCCCCAGCTCAGTTAATCCATTCTGAAATCTCTATCATATACATAGCTAGAGAGGCCTGTTCCCTCAGTGATTCTAGATCCTGTTAGTTGACAGTATTAACCATTACAAAGAATAAAACAGGTTAGTTCACTATTTTGCTTTTGCTAGAGCAAAACTACATAACAATTTTGGGTCAGTGCTATAAGCCCACTCCTTAAGTAATAAATGTAGTCATTCCTCTGGTAGTTAATTTCCACCAAAATCAGCATCAATAATCTACTTTGTAAGGAGAGCCATAATTGTAATCTAGATGTATGTAGTTGCATGAATGAGACTGGCCTTCAGAGACCCAGATTTGAGTGCTTGTTTTGAGGGTAATAGAATTGTTTGAGGTGGTTTAGGAGATGTCACTTCCGGTGGTAGGCTTTGACATTTCAAAAGCCCATGTCTTTCACACTTCTGTCTGTCTTGTGGTTGTTGTTTCAACAAGAAAGCTTTCAGCTATTGCTCCAGTGCCATGCCAGAGTCACGAAGGTCACAGACTTAAGCCCCCTGGAACTGTGAACCCCCCAAATTAAATAAACACTTTCTATGTTGCCTTGGTCATGGTGTTTTGTCATGGTAATAGGAAATTAACGGATCAGTATACTATAGTAGTATTCTTGCATGGGGAAGAGACCTGAGGAAATAGTACCAAGTGACCTGCAGACAGGAACTGTGAGGGGAGGTGTAGTTAGGAAATAGTAATGGCAGTGATGCTGCAGGTTTCCATGTTAATTTGTCTTTATACTTCATTGAACATATTACTCAGTTAATATGCTTGGTATGGTCTTTCTCATCTGTGCCTGTAGCCCAACCCATCACTGTTTGGTGGGGAGAGGAGATGGGTGCTTACTTGCACCCCCCCCCCCACCTGAAGAAAATGGAAGTTCTTGGTTTAAGAGAGATCTTGCATCAGAATAAGACAGAATAATAGAGAATACTTGGCATACAAAGCAAACATAGAAGAATTAGAAAAACTTTTTGGGGTGCAGATATAAGGTAGATTGTGCAAACAAAAGGCTATGTATGTATTTAAGGTTTTGATAGTACCAAAATTATCATTCTTTAGTTTCCAAAAATGTTTGAATTAGTAAAGTCTTAGAAGTTTGAATTGAACTAATCGATCAATGTTTTTTTTTAAGCTTGCTTGCTGTTGATCCCTTATTCTGTGACTTGCCTTTTTAAAAATACATGTAGTGTTGCATATGAATCTAACCTAAGATTTCATTCATGCTAGGCAAGTGTTCTACCATGGGCTGTACACCTCAGATGGGGTGTATAGATGGGGTGTATAGATGGGGTTTTTGTTTGTTTGAACGGTCTGGTTGAGTAGCCCTTAGTAAACTCTCTGTCTTCTTTCCTCTGCCTCAGGGGTGCTGGGATTACAAATGTTACCGTGTGGTTTTTATTTTGCTTACTTGAATTATTATGTCTTTTTGTTTTTGTTGTGTTCATTCATCAACCAGAATACTGTTTGAAAACAGGAGACAGAAGTACGTTGGTGTAGATAACAGATTTTTTTTTGCAATATCAGAGATTGGAACACAGGTCTTTGTTCATGCAAGCAGCACTTTACCCCCAAACTGCTGACTAGTTTTATGTTTGGTTGTGGTTTTGTGTGTGTCTGTATGTTGCTGGAATTGAACAGAGGACTTGATGTTGATGTGAACTGTATTTTACCTGAGTGGTGCTCAGTCTTTATTTGAATTTCTTATACAATTTATGGACTGCATTTTTTTCTCTAATGGTTTTTTTTTTTTTTTTTTTTTTTTTTTTTTTTTTAAATTTTTGCTTTTTATTGAAACAGTGTTTCTCTGTATGAATGTTCTTTTAAGACTTGTAATTTGCAGATATTAGCTGAGATTCTTCAAATATACTTCTAGAGTAGATAAGAAGACTTGTTGATTTACTGGCCAATTGCAAGGGAACATGGACAGTCAAATGGAAGGAGTATATAAGATGAGGTTGGGGAAAAAGAACCCAGCAATCAGAATTTCCACATCTTTTGTGGTATATCATAACTACTAGCACTTTAGTGTGCTTGCTTCTCAGTATAGAAGCTCTACTGATGTACTTCTTAGTATGTCAGGTCAAGAGTACTTTTTCCTTTTAAACTCTGAATACTTTTGTTGGTTCCAGGACCCACTGCATGACCAAGTTGAGAATACAAAACCTCCCTTATATAAAAAAATGATATGTGCATATAACTCAATCTCTTGTATGCTTTGATTTATCTCTACCTTATTTTGAGTACATGAATGCTCTGTAGTAGCTATATTCAATTGTTTGTGGGAAAGGTGCATTTCTTGAATGTATTTTAATCTTTGAAATCCTTACATGAAAGGTTGACTTAACTTTGTCAGCCCTTTAGGCATAACCAATTGTCTTTCTGTCTGTTTATTACTCAGTGTCTTGCTGGGTAACCCACATTAGCCTTTGACTATTTTCCTGAGTGCTGGAATTATAGGCATATACTACCATACCAGGGTGAGTTAAAACAAGGACAGAACAAAAAAGTTCTGATTGTGATGTTTTCTATTTTAGTTGAAATTTAAAAAATGACTTGGAAAGGTGACAGGAGGATCAGGAATTCTAAAGCTCAACTTTATTACTGTCATATGGAGTTCAAGGCCAGCCTGAGCTATTGGGAACCCTGTCTGAAAACAACACTGACAAAATAATGTGATATAAAATTCATTGTTTGGTTGGAGTTTTTGTAAAAATAGGTTTACTATGTTAGATGAACTTCATGTGTCTCATATTTTACTTTTCAAATAAGCTGTTGTAATACATGTGAATTTCATGTTTTTTAACAGAGTTTGTCGTCTTGAGCCTCCTTATTTTTAAAATTAAATTTTAACTCCTCAAAACAGTTCTTATTTTGATGAATCGTGTTGGCATATGTTACACTATTTCATACAGTTGCCTTGTATGAAACATTTCTTTCCATTTATTTAAAACTATTTCAAGAGTTGTTTATTAATGTAGATTGCCAAGAAGCTAAGTTATTACACTGTCAGCCTTATTTTTAAGTAATAATGTCTATCTACACTTTTTGTAAGGTGCATTTAGCTTGCTAAGTTTCAGTAAAAACATTTTGGTTGAGTTTAATGAGATTTTACATCTACATCTATAATGTCAGGATCTTTTGGGATGGATAGATAAAAGAATGTTTTTGCTCCTTAGGTATATTCGAGAGCAAATGACCAAGAGCCATGTGGATGGTGGCTAGCTAAAGTTCGGATGATGAAAGGAGAGGTAAGTAACTGTTTTCCAAGGAAACACCTAAACTTTGGGTTTCTGCGACTATCACCCTTTGTTTTCTTCCTCAACTCCCACCTCAGGTATAGTTGCTCAGGTATTTAAAAGATTCATTGTACTGTAGATTTCAGTTATGTTTTTTATTGCCAAACACCAAGGATATTTTCTAGAGGTATGCCTCAAGCCTATATGACCACCAAGGTTCATGCTTGCAAGTATTTATAATCTGGTTTAGGTAAATGATATGGATAGTATAAAGCTTAATATTTGTATGTAAGTGGGAGGGTCTAGAATATCATCTAAAGATTAGTGTTTTTGTTCACATGAGCTTTTAAAAGAACTTTGATATCTTTTAGTTTTATGTCATTGAATATGCTGCTTGTGATGCCACTTACAATGAAATAGTCACATTTGAACGACTTCGGCCTGTCAATCAAAATAAAACTGTCAAAAAAAACACCTTCTTTAAGTGCACAGTGGATGTTCCTGAGGATTTGAGAGAGGCGTAAGTAACTTTATTCAACTTTTATGAGTTATGATCTTTTGATCTATAAAACATCATTCCTCAACCAAGCAACCAACCAAAACCTTATAGAAGTAAATCTTAAGGAGCTGGAAAGATGGCTCAGCAGATAAGAGCACCCACTCTTCTTTCAGAGGACAAGTGTTGGATGCCCAGCATTTAAATTGAGTGATTCACAGGTAACTCAAGCTCCGGTGCCTCTGGTTGGCACTGGCACTGGTTCACGAAACCACCACAGAATACACATAATTAGAAGTAACAATAATCTTTAGAAAATAGCTTTTAAATTATAATGGGAAATATCAAAATGAAATACCGAGATTGCATTATATTCTTAAATTTAATCCTTTTCTGAAGTCTTGTATCTGCGTTATTTTCTCTTTAGGTGTGCTAATGAAAATGCCCATAAAGATTTTAAGAAGGCAGTAGGAGCATGCAGAATTTTTTATCATCCTGAAACTACCCAGCTAATGATACTGGTAAGATAGACCATATTTTAAGTAATGACCTGATGTGTTATTAGATATTTATTAAGGTTTATGTCTAATGAATTAACTAATAATGTTTAGGAGGTTTTTGCAGCTATGTTAATTTTCTCTCCTTTAGTAGGAAGGAACAAGTGTTTTGTTTTAAAGGTTTATTTATTTATCATGTATACAGTGCGTGCCAGAGGAGGGCACCAGATCACATTAAAGATGGTTGTGAGCCACCATGTGGTTGCTGGGAATTGAATTCAGAACCGCTGGAAGAACAGTCAGTGTTCTTAACCCCTGAGCCATCTCTCCAGCCCACAAGTGTTTTGTTTTTGGTTTGCTTATTTTGATTGTTGTTGATTTACTATTTGATAAAGGGTCTGCTATGCAGTCCCAAGGTGCCTATGACTAGTAGCAGTCCTCTGGTCTCAGCTTGTCAGGTGTTGAGATTAATATTGAACTACTGTTCCTGGCTCATAAGACTCTTAATGACATTTGTAACATCTTAAGATTCTTAATATGTAAAAAAATCTTTGCTTCCCCTCCCCCCCAATACATCTGAGCAGCAGATATAATTTCAGAAAGGAAAGTAAGGTTACATTAGAGGGAGAGCTTAGGGTGAAAGGAAATAATAGGTAAGAAGAACCAAGGAATTCATTTAGAAGATTGAGTGATTAACATGTTTGTTTGTAGTCGGCCAGTGAAGCAACCGTGAAGCGAGTAAATATCTTAAGTGATATGCATTTACGAAGTATTCGGACGAAGTTGATGCTTATGTCCAGAAATGAAGAGGCCACTAAGCATTTAGAAGTAAGTGGGTTTGCTTTTGTGTCCCATAAACTTTCCTGTGTCTCAAACTATGTGACCAGTAACAGAAACCCACCCAAGACCTAGGTATTTAAGGCTATTACCCAGAATCATTAGGAAAATTAATCTTCTGTTTTGCTTTTGTCAAATATAACATTTGTTTTGCCAAGTGCCTCTTGTTGGGGCTTAGAAAATAGTTGCCAAAGAGCTTTAGAAATTAGTAATTAGGCATACCTAGAAAGTCTTATTTTTCTTTACTCTGCCTTTAATCTGTATTTTACCATCTTGTCACCTGTCAAATGTGACCTTAGTTTACTGTAGCAGTTCTGTAAGTGGAAAGAAGAGTTAAAAGATAGACATGGTAGAGCACACTTCACAATATGCTGCTTCTTGGTCTCTCCTGGGGCTCTCTACTTCCTCCTACTGTCCAGGCCAACCCTATGAGGGTGCTGGTTCTGCCCTTACTGTTTCCAGCTGAATGTGTGCACATACTCATCCTTGGAGAAAGATAGGCATTTTTAGTCCTCAGATTTGTTGTTTCCCTTACTTGATAATGATTTTTTAGTTAGTTTTTTGTTTGTTTGTTTGTTTGTTTTTTTTGGAGACAGGGTTTCTCTGTGCACTCAGTCCTCTGTCCTGGAACTTGCTTTGTAGACAAGGCTGGCCTCCAACTCACTTGAGATTCACCTACCTCTGCCTCCCAGCACCTGAGTGTGCCACCACTGCCCAGCCTACTTATGTGTTCTAAACAGAGTATATGAATGCATTTTGTTAGTTTTTTAAAGATTTTATTTATTATGTATACAGCATATACATGTCTGCATGCCAGCAGAGGGTATCAGATCTCATTCAGGGTGGTTGTGAGCCACCATGTGGTTACTGGGAATTGAACTCAGGACCTCTAGAAGAACAGTGCTCTCAACCGCTGAGCCATCTCTCCAGCCCTATGAATGCATTTTGTAACAGCCTTCTGAGTTAGAGATTTGCTGGCAGCTTGTTACTGAAAATTATTTTAGAATTAAATAGGCCGAAATATTTTAATTTCGTTCCATTTTATGATGACCTTCCTTAATTCTGTAGGAAATTCATTGTTGACCTTGTTAAATTTAGTTTTTTGTTTTGTCTTGAATCTAAAGATAAATGCAAAATGCTCAAAATTTGCTAATGTATTTAGCATCCTTAGTCAATTTCAAGAACTTGCCATATTGTAAAAACTGCAACTTTTGAACAGCAACTTGCCACTTTCTCCTTTCTTCAGACCCCTCAACCACTTGTTTTTAACTATTTTATTTTATTTTATTTTTGTTTGAGACTGGCATGCAATTTATGATCATCCTGTCACCATGCCTAGTTAAAAATTTCATACTTTAATTTAAAAAGGATTTTCCCAAGTACTGAGTTATATCCCAGTACCTTGTATGTGCTAGGCAAGCTTTCAACAGATCTTTTTTAAAAACTTATATACATAATTTTCTATGACTGCCTTATTTCTCTTAGGGTAATAATGTTAATGTTCTTGGGATTCATCGATGTTGTCACATCTGCCACTTTCCTCTTTGAAGTTTGCTGCTCACTGTGTGAATACCCATATTCTGTTGACATAGATTTTTCTCTGTACTTTATGGTTATTTTGAGTAATGGTATGAAAAACAGTATTCAAAAACAAACAAGCAAAACAGGCTTATAAAATAAAAATTCTAATTTCCTTCTTTCAATAGTGCACAAAACAACTCGCAGCAGCTTTTCATGAAGAATTTGTTGTGAGAGAAGATTTAATGGGCCTAGCAATAGGAACACATGGTAGTAACATACAACAAGCTAGGAAGGTTCCTGGAGTAACTGCTATTGAGTTAGATGAAGATACTGGAACATTTAGAATCTATGGAGAGGTAAGTTATCTGCTTCCTGCTTTTTTACTCACTTAATTGGACATGATAGTCTGTTTTATTATCATTTTTTTTCTTTAATTTTACTCTTCACTAAAATACTTTTGAGGTAAAAATTCACATAAAACCAGACTCATTTTTATACTGTAAGATAATTTCTGAAATACTCACAGGTGGCCAGTATAACATTAGGAGGGACTGGCTTTGAGTTATACTGCCTAGAGTCATGTGTCTATAGAGAGGGCTTGAAAATTGACTAAACTTTTCATTTTAACATGATTGCATTTACAGTTGCGGAAGATTTATCTTTGAGCTATGGTTAAGGAACAAGCAATAAAAGCAAGTAATAATCCTCAAAATCATTCTAGTCTTTTAAAAAATGTACATATTAGAGTTTAAATTTAAACATTTTTATCAGTAAGTAGGTCTTTTTTTTTTTTTAAACTCTTCTCTTAATAAGCAAAGCAACTTTGTTTTGTGCAGAACAGGGTCTTTCTGTGTAGAACAAGCTAGCCACACTGGCCAGCGGTGATCCTTTCTTCCTGAGCCCATAGTGCAGGTCTGTGCTGCCATGCCCTGTTTGCAGCTTTCTACATCTTTTGTGTTTCGTAGCACCTGGGAATAGCCCCTAGACCTTTTGTACAGTGCAGGCAAGTACTTGCTGCTGACCTGACTCTTGTGGCTTAGCATTACGATTGGGAAATAATCTTCCTTTTTCATATATCTTGGGTATGGGGTTGTTTCAGGATATTAACGGGTTTTATTTGTCTTTCCTCCATCTAGAGTGCTGAGGCTGTAAAAAAAGCTAGGGGTTTCTTGGAATTTGTGGAGGATTTTATTCAAGTTCCCAGGAATCTTGTTGGTAGGTACTTGTATAAAGGTTAAATGAAAATATAAATGTAAATTAACTTAATTGGATGTTATTTTTGTAATTTGCTTACCTCAGTGTACCTGTAATCTGAACTGTTTAGACAGCAAATACTGTGTTTTGTTGTTGTTGTTGGTGTGTGTGTGTGTGTATGTGAGTGTGTGTGTGTGTGTGTGCGCGCGCGCGCGCGTGAACTTGGTGAGATAGTATTTTATTTGTCTTGTACCTTTAATATTTTCATGCCTAGAAAGTAAGATGTATTTGTTCTGTGCCATTAATAAGAACCTTAACAATTTGTTGTTAAATTTTGTCTAAGTCTTCTCATCTTTTGGGCACTTTCCTATTTCCTGTTTAATGTCCTTGTTTTTGTGTTTTGTCATTTATGTGTCCACCAAAATTGTGATAGTGAAGGTCTTAAGGTGTCTGTGACATTTTTTTTGTTTGTTTAGAGTGGAAATAAAAGTAAATCTGGGCTAACAATAGAATAATAAGCTTCTTTCTACATAGTAGGCCCTGAATAAATAGTAATTGGTTGTGACAATAGCATAGCATAAAGTAAGAAGACTTGGGCAGAAGAAAGGATTTCGATATGAGGGGAACTTACACACACTGTTGTTTATCACCATCTGTGAATATCACTATATCCGTGAGTTACAAGTGAAGTGACCTCTTTTGAGTTTGCTGTGGTTAACTTATATTTAGGTATGTTAATTAATGCTGCTGCTGTTGATGTGTTTGCTCCTGTGCCTTTGAGAACCTGAGGACCATACCATACCCAGGGCCTCCTGTATGGTAGCAAGTGCTGTACTACTGAACTGTCCGGTGCCTCTCTGTCATTTTGGGTGCTACTTGATACAAATAGGAAGTTTTTGGGTGTATGTTAAGTACTTAGTGATTCTCCAAAATAGTAAACGTAAAATTAAGTACTAACATAATGTGGGTGGACTTTTAATAGCAAGTCATGCAGTTTTGTTTTCCTCTGGCTACTTGTTTTTGACCACAAGGAATTTTTTTGAGCCCTTTGGGTTCCATTACAAGGTAATTTACTCTCTATGCATGAGCCATTTGTTACACCCTGTAAAATAAAATTGGAAAAGATCTAAGACACTTCCTTTCCCAAAGTTACTTGTTTCTGCCCTTAAGGAGCAGTATAGGTCTAGGGATATGGCTCAGTGGGTAAACTGCTTGCAGTCCAACTTGTGTTCACATCCTCTGCTCCTACATAAAAGCCTGTTGTACCATAGTACATCTGTAACCCTGGTGTGACAGGATTTAATGGCCAGCTAGTCAAGCTGGGAAAAATGGATTCCAGGTTAAGTGAGAGATCCTGCCTCAATTCTGAATGGATGGATGGATGGATGGATGGATGGATGGATGGATGGCAGAGAAAGATAAAGACAACACCCAACACCCAAAATTTACTTTTGGCTTCCACATGGGTGAGTGTACACGTAGGAAAAACGGTTTATAGCAGAAAGGTTTGTTTCTTTGTGTAATGCAACAGTTAGTAGTTATGTACAGTGCTTTTCAGGACTCTTAAATAGGCTATGATATACTGGCAGTTAATGCAAGTTTTTGATGTGACATTGTTCACTACATAATTACTAGAGAGATGTTGAGGTAATAAAATTGAAGAGTATTGTATAATTTTAATAAACATGAAAATACAAGACTTTGACTTTGTTAAATGAAAACATTGTTGCTGCTTCCTATTCTTAAATTTTTTTAAATTTTAAAAAAAATTTGGTGTATGTGTATGCTTGAGCACACTCATGTTATCTCTATGTGGGGAGAGGTCAGAGTCAGTTCTCTCCTAGTACCTCTGTATGAGTTTGGTGGATCAAATTCAGGCAGGCTTGAGTGGCATGTGTCTTTACCTGCTGAGACAACTTGCTGTCCTGCCATAAGTTTTACTATCTTCCTATTTTTTTTTTTTTTTTCCATCTTCTCTCCCATCCAGAACTAGGGTTTTGAACCAAGGCCTTACCCAATGAACCCCAGCAACAATGGCTGTTTTTGAAATATTTGTTGTATTCTTTAAATCATTTATTTACATGAAGTGCTAAGATTGTGGCAGCTATTCTACAGAGCATTATTTAACTGAACTAACAAGGCTTCCTCACTTGTAAAATGGTTGTGATGGTAGTTTTATGAAAGAAAGAAAAATCAGGTTTTGTCCAATTTAATGCTGCAAAGATAAGCCTAGGTCTTCCAGAGTTGGTAGTATTAATCATGGTATTTCAGAATAAGGCAATTGGATGTATCTGTAGTTTTGGTTCTTTATCTAGTTAGTGTAGTAATAGGAATCTGTGCTAGGTATCTTTTTTCCACTGTCCCGTATTGGTTGCCATTTGTGATTTGAATTGCTTATATGATCTTTAGAAAGCATACATTAGCAGGAGCAACTTCACAATGGTGAAACTCTGGACATTTCTGTTGCTTGTCATGTATAGTGAAAACACTATTTCCCTCAAATGTTTCATGGGTTAAGCCGTCTTTTGAAAAATTTATGTTCTTAATCCAAATGAAAGAAAAAGAAAACTGAGGAATAAAAGGGAATGAGGACCACTTGGTGGGTAAGTTCCAGAGAGGATGAATTGCTTTACATGTTTGAGTCATTCTAGTATTTGATCATTCCCACCTGTCCAAAATCAAAGAAAAAAAGTATTTCTTGAACACTGATTTGAAAATGGATCAAAACCATTCACCTCTTAGAAGCTGCCTTTAATCACTTCTTTACTTTGTCCCTTCAACATTTATACTCAATGCTCAATTTATACTACAGGTCTGCTTCAGTTTGTCAATATGCTCTGGAATTTAAACTTTGGAAATGATCATTTAAAATATTGAAGGTCTCTGGTGGGACTAAGTAAGACTTGAAGGTAGGTCCCTGCCAAGGACCCAGAAGGGTGATGGATGCTTAACTCATCACTGGTGTAGTTCCAAGAAGCAAGTGAGCAGGATTCTGGGGGAAGGACTTATGTGCCATCAACTTCATTTTTGTTTTCTGTAAAGACTTTTGCTTATTTTTAGCAGGATGGAGGATGAAGCTGCTTCTTAAGCTTCATTGTGTAATCTGTCAAGGTTGCTTTGGAAGGGCTGCTGCTAGGGCTTCTCGGAGAAGACACAGTCGTGAACTCTGATGTCTTGTTTTAACCTCTTCAGTTACTGCTGTTTAAATTGAGGCTTACTGATGGGGAACGGGTTTGAGATTAGGAATAAGATTGAAAAAGATCTAGAAAGAGTGTTTTATTACCCAGTTTAACTGTTGATATTGTTCCTTATATAATGGAAACTGTTCTCATGAGCATACAACATGACAAACCTTAAATCCTTTCAACTGAAATGGCAGGGTTTTATTTTTGTTTTTGTTTTTGTTTTGTTTTTCAAGACAGGGTTTTGTCTTTGGAGCCTGTTTTGGAACTAGCTCTTGTAGACCAGGCTGGCCTGGAACTCACAGAGATCTGCCTGCCTCTGCCTCCCAAGTGCTGGATTAAAGGTGTATGCCATCACCTCCTGGCGAAAATGAAGCTTTTATGAAAATGACTTAGTTAAAAAAATAATTATGATGTGAACTTGATAACATGAGACTGCTACTTTATTATTTCTGTTACTTTTATCCCAAGATTATACCAGATAACTTCAGTTACATATTGATTCTTCAGGTTAATCTTTGTAATAGGGAAAGAGCACCTCCATGTTCCCTTTGGAGTTTTTCTTTTTAAGTATTGTATACTCAGTTACTGCTGTTTGAATGACAGGTCACGAATGAAGAAGGTACGATTTTCTATCATTTTATAGTCTGTCATTCTTAGCAAGACAGAATATACATGCTGTATGCACTTGTATAAAACTATGAAGTATGTCAAAACACAACACTTGTACATGTATAATGTAATATTTTAGTTTTGTAAGACTATGCATGTGTTTGGGTGTTTGTATAATACATATATATGAATGAGACCAACAAATTGACATGGTTGATGCCAATTAAAATTGCTTTCTCACATTCCTTGGGCAGGGTTTTGAAATGGACGAGATATTTTAAATTGCTAGAAATAGTTTAAAAATGTTTAGGCTTCAAAATTGTCTTGCATGTGAACTGCATTGGATAATTGCAGTCAGTAGCTTTAGACATAATCCAGAGAGAGTTTAGCACTCTTTAGGTGAGGTTATTGAAAGGGAAGGAATCATATTTGCTTGGTGGTTATCATTTGATAGGAAAGTCATAAGTAATCTAGGTTGGTACTGGATGGATAACAAATTGGTTTTAACTCACATTTGTTTTCTTTCACTAAAGGAAAAGTTATTGGGAAAAATGGCAAAGTTATTCAAGAAATAGTGGATAAATCTGGTGTGGTTCGAGTAAGAATTGAAGGAGACAATGAAAATAAACTACCTAGAGAAGATGTAAGTGATGGTATTTATTTGCCTGTTTTATGTTAGCTTCTTAATTTCTAATACTGTAGGTATTTTTGGTTTTGAAATTTTATTTATTTGTACTAGTATTTCATATCTTTCTGTTGTGTGGGCTGTGGTTTCTTTGTCAGTATTTAAATCAGTTTTTATAAAAGTTTCAGTTTGTTAATCTTTTTGGGGTCCCCCTTTTGATTTTCTATGTATGAGTGTTTTGCCCACATGTATATATGTGCATGCTTGGTGCTTGTGGAAGTCATAAGGCATTGGATCTGCTGGTATTGGAATTACTAAAGGCTGGAACTGTCTTCATGGGTGCTAGGAACCAAATCTAGGTCCTTGTAGAGAACAAATCCTCTTAACTGGTGAGCTCTATCACTCTAGTTCCATCTTAGCCATTTTTACTCTTGAGTATAAAGCTGTAGAATTTGATGCTCAATGAAGCAGTCTGCCAAAAGCAATTCTTGATCACTCCTTGGCCTTTTTTTTTTTTTTTTTTAAGAGTATAAAAGCATTGGCCATTTTTCACTCTGTGTTAATATTTTGTTTACAATTCTGTTATTAACTGCTTACACATCAAGGTAGTTAGTCAAATTTGTGGGTTCAGTGGTCAACTTGATATAGCTGATTTCAGGCTTTAAAGCCCCAAGGGTTATCCCTAAATTAATCACCCAGAATTCAGGATACTACTGTATCTTTAGTTTTTCACAGTATTGTTCATAGAATTTGATAACTCAGAAAGAACCAGGAAACTTTGTAAACATTTCACTCAGACCATTGTCTTGAAACCAAGTATTGGGTGTCCTGAGTTAACTACTGAAGCTAGTGCTTTTTATTTCTTTGTTCTATAGTATAGAGTCGAAATACACTTAAATGTACTAATGTACTGCATGTTGATTTCACAAGAAGCAGAACATTTTTCTGAGTGATTTCCTTACACACTGTTTTAAAATATGTTTTATCACATATTTTCTGCTTGCTTTGTATGATTTTTAGGATGTCTTTCATAGATGAGAATTAAAATAGTGCCTGACATTGAAATCTTCACATTTCTCATATACCTGGTATACAACAACAATCTAAATTCTAATCTGAAGACTATGGTAGTCTGAACCTTCAAATAGCTCAAATATAACTATTTAAGTTGATATTCAAAGCTAGTCTTCCCTTGACATGTTCCCACTTGTGTTTCAGTATTCCATTTTGGTGCAAGTTTATTTTTTCTGGTAGGTTCTCCTTGATTAAAAAAAGAAGTTAATGTGCTATCCTGTCTGTGTAGCTTTGGCCATTGTTATTGGTATTTCTGGGCCTGGGTTAAGAAACATACATAACCTGGGTGTGGCAGCACACACCTCTATTCCCAGCACTTGGAGTCAGAGGTGGA